AAGAATGGGGTCTAGGAACTTTTTTTTTGACACCAGTGTCACTTTTAGTATTTGTTTCCAAGGCTTCCCTTAATTGCGTCTGCCTGAATACTTGAGAACATCTCCTGTGTCCTTGACCAACTGGAATCTCTTCTCTCTCTGCCTCTTGGTATCCAGTTCACTATGGCTGGACTCAAGAACTTACTTTGAGAACTGACCGGATCCCTGAGGGGTGTTAAGAACTATACCAGCACCATCAGATGAGCAGAGTGGTCTGTGGGTGCCAGCTTTGTGGCATTTAGGTATCCCACCATCCCTATGAGATGCGGACTGTGTCATTCTTGCATCCCAGAGGACGAAACTGAAGCAAAGAGTTTAAGTGACCTTCCCTCTTAGCTGAACAAGAATTCAGTCCAGGCCTGGGGGACCCGAGTATAGGCACTTGAAAGCCCAGTTGTCCAATCCTTGGGTCAACAGCAAGAAGAAAGCAAACTAGAGCAACCCCATCCACCACGATCCAGAAGGCCCCCCTATTTTCCCCTCAGATGCCTGCTTCCCTCCTAATCTAAAAAAAAAAAAAAAACAGAATACCTATTAATCAGAAACAAAGAATCCCTGCCATCGCACGTTGCTGTTTGTGCCAGCATCGCCAGGGAGAAGCTCCACCATCCATTATTTTGATGGGTGCTGAAGGGAGGAGAAGGATGAGATCAGCCCTCAATGGATCCAGAAATTATTGGCAAGTACCACCAGAAGGGGTGTTTCACTGAGGAGAAGCTGCGTGTTCGGTGAGCAGTTATCTGCTTTGAAATGCAATCTCAGACAAAAGTCTTACAAAGGGAAAAAATGAACATCAGGAATGGAGAAGGAAGATGACCAGGGGGAAAGGCTGTGCTCTCCCTTATCGGAGATCTCCAGGGTTGCGCCATATTTCCGCAACACGAGAGGACTGACGTGCAGATGACTTCCAACCTTCTGATCCAGGTGTGTTCCTAGGCAGAAAAAAAATGACCCTACATTTGTCTGTTTGGACTGATAAAAGATTAAAAAAAAAAAAAGGCTGGGTGGTGGTGCAAGCTTGTAATCGCAGCAGATTGGGAGGCTGAGGCAGGAGGATCACAAGTTTAAGGTCAGCTTCAGCAAAAGTGAGCCCCTAACAACTCAGTGAGACCCTGTCTCTGAATAAAAACAAAATAGGGCTGGGGATGGGGCTCAGGGGTTAAGTGCCCCTGAGTTCAATCCCCAATAAACCCCCATCCCCAAAAATAAGGTATAAAAAAGTTTTTTGTTGTTTTTATTTCCAGATAAATGTAAAAATTCTGCATGAAATTGAGCTAAAACTGCAGCTTGGCAGGAAGAGTGTTTATGAACGGTTGGAAGGGATGACAAGAGCGTGGTGTCTTTTTTTCTGTGCTTTTCCTTTGGAAGCGTGTGTGTTTAGATTTGCTGGACAACCTGCCAGGCGGTTTTGTGTGGGATGGGTCTTGACTCCAGTGTCTTTTGTGTTTATTGTTTTAGAATCACTGGCCCCAATAAGTCTTCCTGTTCAACATGGATTTTCCAGTAAATGGCAAAGGCCCCCTTAAATCTGTCTGCAGTTCTCAAGAGACTGGTCCAAAGCCTTCCCAGGAACCATGGGTGGGCATCTATGGAAGGGCTCACGGTCATGTTTATTTACTCACTTTGGAGGTAGGAGACTGCCCTTCAGCTCAGAGAAGGAACACAGACGGTGATCTGCAGTTGAAAGCTAGTGAAAGCTAAATGGTTGGGCTTGAGGGGGCTGGCGAGAACCCAAATCCAGCCAAGGTCAGCGTGGAGTGCTGCTCGGGCTGCATTAGCATTATCACGGTCAACATTATTTCCCCAATTATCCTTTAATGGTCCAATTTACCTTCAAGTCTGTAACTAAGACACTGATTCCTTATCTTCTGTTCCGCCGACCTCAGACAGATCCAAAGCAAATTTCAGCCTTCCCAGCTCTGAAGCCAATCTTGATCTTTTCCAACAGTTATTCTGTTCTTATTTTTGTGTCTGCCTCAGACTGGCCATTAAACCCAGACTCCCACTGTACAACCACGATTGTTCATATAGATATGGGCTACTCAGCTTGTAAGTCCGTGGAAGGTGCCTTTATAAAGTAAAGTTCAGTGTTATTTTGGGTATAGGTGATGCCACTAGGCTTGGATACAAAGTTTTTTTACAAATTGAGAAATTCTCAGTAGGGCAAAATGTCGTATACCTATAATCCCAGCCACTGGGGAGGCTGAGAGAGGAGGATCCTGAGTTCAAAGCCAGCCTCAGCAAAAGTGACAAAAAGTCTCTAAATAAAATACAGAATAGGGCTGGGAATGTGGCTCAGCAGTTGAGTCCCTGGGTTCAATCCTCAGTAGCCACTCTCCTCCAAAAAAAAAAAAAAAAGAAAAGAAAAGAAATTCTCCAAAATGTCACTGTTGAAGTAGCTGCATTTTTTTTCTCTTGCTTTTTGCTCTTGGGTTTGGCTTGAGTATTTACGGGGGGATGGTGGGGAGGTAAAGCAAGCAGCTGATAGGTGGTCGATTATCAAGACATTTTAGTTCGCTTCCCAAATTTACTGTTGAGTGGTTGTCATTTTATTTGATCCCAGAAGGCTTAAAAATCATCCAAATCCATGCATTAAGACTGAGAAGAGTGAACATGTACCCAGTTCTCAGTTACTAAATTGACCTTTTTTCTTTTTTTACAGATTATTGTTTTTAAAATTATTATTATTATTATTATTATTATTATTATTATTATTATTATTATCATTATTATTATTTGGTACCAGAGGCTGGATTTGAACTCATGATCCTCCTGCCTCATCCTCCCCAGTAGCTGGGATAACAGGCCTGCACCTCTACGATGGCTTTCTTTGCAAATTAAAAATAAACACAAAACAAAAAACTGACACCTAGGGTCCACCAGACTGGGAGCTTCTTGAGGTCAAGGGCACTTCCAGGCCCATTTCTGTGTCCTTGACCTCTAGCACCCTGCTTTCCTCAAGAAACAAGGTATGCAGTGATTGCTGAATGTAATGGTCTCAGTTCACCCTGTGCTTCTGCTCTGCTCTGGGTACCTCCAATGCAGGATGATAGAATAAGAGAAAATAGTTCCTCGTCACAAAGAAAGTCTTTGGGAAGATGGAGAGATGAAGGGACTATCCCAGGAATGGAGACAGTAGTAACGAGAGAGACTTCAGGACCTGCCGTCCTGGTTGATAGGCATGGATATTCTGAAGGGTTATATTCATGACCACTAAACATTAATGTGACCTGGTTGAGATCCTAAGTGCTGGAACCTCAGTCGTATTTGGAGTTAAGGACTCTACAGAGGTGATGAAGTTCAAAGGAGGTTGTAAGTTGCCCCCTCAAACACCATGAAGGGTGTCCTTGTAAAAAGAGGAAACTTGGACATAGAGACTCACATAGAGGGAAGAGTCCCAGGAGCCACAGGAGAAGATCATCATGGACATGCCAAGAGAGAGCCTGGAGAGATCCTTCCTTAGTCCTCAGACGGAGCCAGCCTTGCCCCAGCACCTCAGTTGACTTCTAGTATCAGAACTCTGAGAGAATAAGTCACCGAGACTGCCATACTTTGTTATGAAAGCTTCAGATTTTGGTATTATCTTCTTCTTCTTTTTTTTTTTTTTTTTTGTACCATGGATTGAACTCAGGGGCACTTAACCACTGAGCCACATCTGCAGCCCTTGTATATATTTTATTTAGAGACAGGGTCTCTCTGAGTTGCTTAGGGCCTCCATAAGTTGCTGAGGCTAACTTTGAACTCACAATCCTCCTGCCTCAGCCTCCCGAGCCTCTGGGATTACAGGCGTGCACCACCGTGCCCGGGACACTTTAAATTTAAATCTCACATGTTGCTAATGTCTCCTATACCCTACAGCTTAGAATACAGAACATGAAGCTCCTCATTCAGTCAGTTGTTTTCAAACCCCTTTACCCTCTCCTGCTCTGACTTCTAAATGAACCTAATCTAATATCTGCGTTTTTTCCTCATGGGACTTAATTTTCTCACGTTGGTTTCTGGACTCGCCAGTCAATGCTGCAAACCAAGCAGTCTTCAGAGGTTCGATCACAAAGCAAAGCACTAGATTTTTAAACAAACTGAAAAAAAGGGTTATTGGTCTAAGAAACAGAACAAGGAGTAGAAAATAATTAGTCGGCTCACGCTATTTTGAGCCGGCCTCTGGGTGCTCTGAGCAAACTCATCTCCTGCCATTCGAGGAAAGTTGCCAACATTTGCTCTCCTGTCCTCTGCGGACCGTTGCCAAATATGCTTTCATTTCATCCTGTTTGGACAGTTGTTTTAATGCCCTTTCCTGATGTTATCCCTGAACACACAATTAACAGATTTCTACGAAGACACCAGCTGCAAGGAGAGCTGTCCGCCCTCCATTGCGCTCCAGCCCTGGCTCGCTAGCTCGGCTTGGTGAGCAGATTCTAGAATCATGTAGGCTCTTCTGTCTGAGCCAGGAAGCTCTGAGGGACTCCCATCTAACCCTTTCTCCCTTGGCCCTTTTGGGAAAATGTGCTCTTCTCATCTCAGCCTCTGTCAAGACTGCCATGCCTCTCTCAACAGGCTGTGACAGTTTTATGGGGTTTTGACCATTCTGCATCTCTCGGGGCATTTTGATGCCAAAGATATCAGAAGCACCCCCCCCCCAGCCCAACGCCGGTTTTTGCTGCTGCTTTATTAAATGGGCAAACATGGTTGAGAAAGAGCTCTGAGATTCCCTGGCATGATAAAGGGGACTGGATATGGAGTCTGTGGTTTCAGATTCCAGCCGTCATCCTCTCAAACTTGGCAACTCCAGAACCACATATCCTTTGGGCATGGTGTCTCAGTGGGTCCCGCACCAGGGCTCCTTCTCTTTCAAGGTCAAATGCACAGTAGTGGAGCTTCATGAGGACATTGGAAAGAACTGTGGATGTTCAAATGCCTTGTTTAAATTTTACTATTATTTTTTAGTTGTCGATGGACACATTACCTTTATTTATGGATTATGTGGTGATGATCCAACTCAGTGCCTCAGACGTGGTAGGTAAGTGCTCCGCCACTGAGCTACAGCCCCAGCCCCTCAAATGCCATTTTAAAATAACTTAGTGTTTAAAAAGGTGTCATGAGGCTAGGCACAGTGGTGCACGCCTGTAATCCTAGCAGCTTGGGAGGCTGAGGCAGGAGGATCATGAGTTCAAAGCCAGCCTCAGAAACAATGAGGCACTAAGCAACTCTAAATTGAGTCCCTGTCTCTAAATAAAATACAGAATAGGGCTGGGGATGTGGTTCAGTGGCCGAATGCCTCTGAATTCAATCCCCAAGACCTCCCCCCCAAAGAAAAAGGTGTCATGTAACATTGAAATGAAAATAATCATGCATATATCCTATATCCTAGCAATTTTGTTTTCAGGCATCTATCATCTAGAAATAGTTAATACAGGTGCCCCCAAAGAAGAACATTAAAGGAAAATATTGTCAGGGTTAGAGGTTGGCAAATTAATTAAAACTATCTAAGTGTTCATTCAAAGGGAGAGTGGTTAAATGAATTGTTGAATATCTTTACAATGAAGTCATTTGCATATATTTAAAGATGACATCAGTTTATTTGTAATTGCTGATATTGGCTGGGCATGGTGGCACATGCCTGCAATCCTAGGGGCTGGGGAGGCTGAGGCAGGAGGATCACAAGTTCCTAAGCTCTAAGCAACTCAGTGAAACCTTGTCTCTAACTAAAATATAAAAAGGGCTGGGGTGTGGCTCAGTGGTTAAGTGTTGCTGGGCTCAATCCCAAGTACCTAAAAAAAGAAAAAGTGCTGATATCGAATGATATTTATGATGAATTAAGAGAGAAAAGCAAATTGCAGAACACTATATTTAGTATGCTTCTATTTCAGTACTTCAGTGATTTATTTATAAAGAAAATCCCAGATAACCACACATGTGCCTCTGTATGCATAGAAAAATTTGGAAAAATACTCAGGAAATTGTGAAAAATGTGATGATTTGAAAGAGGTAGAGTTGTTTTATTTTGTATTCCTTATGTACTATGAATTTTGGGAACCAGGAGCATTTTAAATTTTTTCCAGTAAAAATTACTTTAAAAAGACAATAAAAATCATCTCTGGGCCCTCTACTCAGCAGATTTTTAAAAATTTTTCAAGTGTATCCTTCTTGATTTTTCTTTTACTCACATACGGCATACATTAGTCAATATAATAGAGCCATTTGTGATTCATTTTTTTCTTGAAATAAAAATTTCTTTTGTCAATACATACAGTTGATCATTTTCTATTTTTCTTTTGTCTGGATACATTTTATTGATCATGAAATGCACAGAATAACAAAATTCACCCATTTTGAGTAAAGTAAGAAAATAAAGTGCAGTTTGGCTTGTTTTTGCAATACTGGGGCTTGAACCCAGGAGTGCTTAACCACTGAGCTACATCTCAAGCCCTTTTATTTTTAACTTTGATTAGTTAATTTTTTTTGGGGGGGGGTACTGGGGATTGAACTCAGGGGCACTTGGCCACTGAGCCACCTCCCCAGCCCTATTTTGTATTTTATTTAGAGACAGGGTCTCACTGAGTTGCTTAAGGCCTCGATAAGTTGCTGAGGCGGGTTTTGAACTTGCAATCCTCCTGCTTCAGCCCCCGAGCACCACTGCACCTGGCTAAAATGCACCTATTTTTGGTATATTGTGGTTTGTTTTGTTTTGTTGTTTTTGTTTGGTACTGGGGATTGAACCCAGGAACCCTCAACCACTAAGTCACATCCCCAGCCCTTTTTTTTTTGTATTTAATTTAGGGTCTCTGTGAGATGCTTCCTGCCTTACTAAATTGCTGAGGCTGGCTTTGACCTCATGGTCCTCCTGCCTCAGCCTCCCCAGCCTCTAGGATTATAGGATGGGCCATCTTTCCCAGCCACTCCCCTGCTCCCTGTGCCTGGTGAATGCAGCCAGATATATAATTAAGCAAAAATCACTGCTTGGCCAAGTCAATACAGGAGGTTAAAATACATTTGAAGTGACTATGATTTCACAGAAGGAAGGTGTTCTATGTGGCTTCTACTCCCCGGCCCTGACAATTGCTGTTTGAAAAGCAATTAACTGTGATAGGTGGACCAATCAGAGAGCAGTTTACTTCACAGTTTAGAAAGCAGAGATGTAAGTGTACTTGGTCATCACAGCTGGTTCTATTGCTCACCTTCCAAACAGGAAACTGAGTCCTCATGGGGCCGTGGACTTTCCCAAGGTCATGGCTGTCTTTCCTGACCCCAAACCCAGCTTTCTTCCCACCCCAGTGGGGTACCTCACAGTCACAGGCTCTGTCGGTTTTCTTGAAGGAAACTGTCCCACTCTCTTGTCAGTGGAAGAACCGTACAGGTTGACATCTGTGCCAGGGACTAGGCAGAGGGCAGGAGTCCTGCATTCTAATGTTAGCTTGGCTGGCAATCCCATATGCAGTCTCTGGGCCTCAGTTTCCTCCTCCATGAAATTGGGGAGGTCAAACCAAATGGCCTGAGGTCTCTTCTAGCTTTGTATATTCCATGATCTTTATAGGAAAAATCCGCAAAGGACAAATAGATGCTGTCTCTCAGTGGAGGTTGCTCCTCCTGCATTAAAATTCATGAATCCACATTGTTTCTAATCTGTCTGCGTCTGGAAAGGTTCCCCGCAAGGAAGTAGCTGATCACCCCCGTGTCTGCTTAGGACCAGAGAAAGTGTCAAAAAGAAGTACCAGTGCTGGGTTGATAGTGCACACTTGTAATCCCAGAGGCTTGGGAGGCGGAGGCAGGAGGATCGCGAGTTCCAAGCCGGCCTCAGCAAAAGTGAGGCCCTAAGCAACTCATATGGACCCTGTCTCTAAATAAAATACAAAACAGGGCTGGGGATGGGGCTCAGTGGTGGAGTGCCCCTGAGTTCAATCCATTGTACCCCTTCCCCCCAAAAAGTACTCTGTAAACTGATAGTAGAAAATACCATTCTGAGGATGGGGAATTCCAAGTTTTTGTAAGTTATAACTTTCTGTCTCAAACACTTAGTCTGAGTGTATAAACATGCCTTCTATTAATTAAGACTCTTGTGAGTCAGAAGTGCTGGAAACCTGACTCTAACTTGAGCAAAAAAGAAAAATTCATTGGGTCGCCATCCTAAAAATTTCAGAAGGGATGTTAAGCTTCAGGTAAGGCTGAATCAAGAGCCCAAATCATGTCCTTAGAACTCTGACTTTCATTGTTGCTCAGCTCTTTCTTTCTGTCTCTGTTAACTTTTAGAGGCTGTCAGTTGCTTCTGACTTAAATGCCATCTTCTCAGTTCACCTAAATCTTGCTAATATTTCTCCCAGAAGTACCAGGAATGATTTGGATTAGCTTCACCTGAGTCACTAGTTTATCAGTCACTAGTTTATCTGAGATGGTCTCTCTAGCTAGGGAGATGGAATACAGAGGAGTGAATCATGGACCCACCTCTGGATTACAGTGTCAGACCTTGTTGCTGTCAGACCATATGAATGGCAAGAGAGAAGGGACAGTTTCCTATGTGAACAGAAAAGGAGATGTAAACCAGGCAGGGGGGAAATAAAAAAAAAAAAGAAAGAAAGAAAGAAAGGAAAGAGAAGAAAAAAATTCACTTTTCTTTATCACACTCTCTTTTCCTTGCTTCTGCCTCTTCCAGAAGTTGCAGGGATGGACTTTGTTGTAGTAACGATAGTCAATGTCATTCCAGAATTAGAGCATTTGAAAATTGACTTTGTGCTGAACTACTAGGGACAGAAGAGAATTCCTGTATTCCCCCACAGGTCCCTGGAGATAGCCAGGCCTGTCCAAACAATACAGCTTTAGATGTTCAGAGAAACAGCCAGAAATGCTCACCCAGGAACTGCCCAGGCTTGCTGGAAAGTGAGCAGCATGAAATGGGCAGGAGAAACGTGCCTTATGCCAAGGGCCCTCGTGAGCAGGCCTCAGGAGTGGTGCTGGCCAGGGCCCACCGGCATGCTAGAATCCAGAAGGCTGACCAGGGATAATCTGGGATCTTCAGCAGAACCAGCAGAACGGGACTTAGAGATCTGGAGGTAGAAATGCCCCATGACCTTGTTCAGAGACACACAAAGACCAGTTTCTTGCTAACTAGCCCCCACCCAGCCCCCACAGTCCAAAGACAATGTTGGTGTTTTAGAAAACCTTTTGGCAAAAGGACTGACTGTGGAAGAGCAAAGCCAGTCACTGAGACTGACTGGATGATTGACAGACTCTTCCATGTGTCTTTACCTCTGACTACTCTTCTCAACAGCCACTGAATGTCATGTTGCATGCTATAGGCTCATAGCGAATGGGAAAAAGTGAGACTTACTTAGTCCCAAGATGACTTATGGTCTCTGATTAGTGTCTTTTTTTTTGTATTGGGGGTTGAACTCATCAGCACTTAACCACTGAGCCCCATCCGCAGCCCTTTTTCTGTTTTATTTAGAGACAGAGTCTCACTGAGTTGCTTAGGGCCTTGCCAGATTTCTGAGGCTGGCTTTAAATCTTCCATCCTCCTGCCTCAGCCTTCCAAGCCACTGGGATCACAGGTGTGTGCCACCACACCAGTCTCTGTTAGTGTCTTGACAGGCTAAAGAAAGTATGAGAATAACCTGAGATGCTCATGATCTCTGATGAGGGTCTTGAAAGGCTGACAAAACTATGAGAATGTAGATCACAGGTTGGAAAATCCAGCTGCTGTCTCTATTTGTCAAAAAGGTCTTAGTGAAGTTTGGTCACCCTTACTTGTGTAGACTTCCATATTTCAGAGCAGAATTGAGTAGTTACAAGACAAAGTCTGAAATATTTACTCTCTGAATCTAGTACCTGTCCCAGAATATTTGAGAGGATACTCCCAGGGATGCATAGCTAAGACACAGGCTAAGAGGTCAGGGGAGGCCGAGGCAGCAGGGGACTCGAGGCCAAGACAGGGAGATGAGAGAGAGCATGCAGAGGCTAGGATTATCTAAACTACGGGGACCCAATTATCCCACTCCTTGGTCTATACCCAGAAGACTTAAAATCAGC